GGGGAGGGCTGGACCTTCAGAGGAGGGGAGGGGGTCATCAGTAATAGTTTTAAACTTTTTGATCCATAGGGTTAGGGTTAGGGATATTTGTATGACTCTACTCTATTGACAACAAAAGTCGTATACAAGCCAAAAGCCGCCAATCGTCGAACCCAACATAATTTAAAAGGGCTGAGAGGATAATGCAGTTATTACACGACTTCTTTCATAAATTATGAAGTAGTACTTTTCATGAATAATGATTCTCAAAATAAAAGGGAATTAATTTGTTAATGTGCTAAATTACAGTGCAGCATTTTTAATAGTATTAATAAGACAGCTTTTATTATTAATAAGACAGTTTTTATTTAAATCGTTACAGTATATATTTAAAAAACAATGTTTGGAGTTAATGTACTTCCTATTTACTATCGAGAAATCGTTTAATTTGATGTCGCGACAAAGCTGCATGGTCGTGCGTTTGGGTAGATAAAATCACTTTTATCCAAGTGTCTAGTCGTTCTAGCGCTTTCGCATTAATTGCGGACACTTTTCGCTCACACGCACTACCAATACATTCAATATTCTATGCACACAACGTTCAAGGCTCACATGTTTAAATTATTAAATGTATACTGTAACGATGTCAATTAAGGCGTTTCAAAAACGTTCTACATGACCGTGCCTTTAAAAAGTTCGTGCTTTCCGATCGACTATCATGGAAACACATTGATTGCCATCTACCCGCAAAAACTGTTTTGTCACGATTGACAAATTTTACGTTTTCGCGCGTGTCATTGTGAAGCACTGTAAGGAGGCAGGTGGAAGTGTTTTTCAGCTAGCCTTTTCCATACATTTACAATATAATGACTCGGAAAGAACACTTTATATAGCCATAATATGACAACAAGTAAACCCGGAAAGACCGGTGGGGGTGGGGGTGGGGGTGGGGTGGTGGAACGGTTTATTTTATTCTATTTGTTTATTATTTTATTTAAAGATTTACCCTAAGGTACAAGGTATTAACACCCAAGGTGTTAACACATAAAGGATTGTATGCACTGTTTGACCGTCGGGAAAGGCCCGCATTTTTTCTTCCATCTTCCATCCATGGACGACTAACGATTAATTTTATATTCGTATAAATCAGATGATATCAGAAATGTAGAGTATTAGGGTCCACGTGAGCACAAATTTCAAGGGGGTGGGGTTGGGGTGGTGGAACGGTTTGACCTTCGGGGGAGACCTGCACATTTTTCGTCCATCCATGATTGATTCGTCTACTTGCTCGAGACCTTTTCTTAAAGCTATCATAGAGAGCTTGTCTAAAATCCTTGTTAAAAATTCCATAGATCAAAGGATTGTATGCACTGTTTAAAAACGTTGACAGTCCAATTATAAACGTAATATATGATGGAATCGCGGTGAAAAATTCGACCATAAAAATGAGGAAAAATGGCGTCCAAGTGAAGAAAAAACAACCAATCACAATAAGAAAGGTACGAAAAGTCTTGATTTCTTTTTTTAGACCAAAATTCCTCGTTCTTTTGTCCCGTGGGAATGTGAAGGGGATGCTATAGTTTCTTCTTGTTATTTTACCATTGAATCTTGTGCTATTGATAGTCGACTGTGATGGATGAGTTTCTTGTGTTTCTGCGTCATTGGTGACATCATTTGGCAAATCTTGAAAGTTAAGATTATGCCTAAGAGATTCAACAGGAATTTGTGCTTGAATGCGTCTCGTATGCCTCGAAGCAGCTTTCCAGATCTTACCGTTGACATAGACGATAAACGTTATCGGCAGAAGCCACAAAAAAATCAAGTCCAACGCACTGTAAATAATCGAAATTCTATGAATTTCACAGATAACACGCCCTGGAAAGGTTTTGATCCCGTACGAGTTGAAAATCCCGAAGACAAATGACATCACCCAGATTGTGACGATTATACAATTTGCGCGCCTGTTCGTCATGCGAGTAGTGTATCGAAGGGGTGACGTCACGGCTACGTAACGATCCCACGTGACTCCACAAAGGCTAAAAATAGAAGCAGAGCAGAACCAAATTGTTGCTAGGATTTTGGCATCGCATAAAGCCATTCCAAATATCCATCTGCCTGCGAAGAAAATAATGAAAACCAGTTGAATTGCTACAAATAAGAAACGAGTTGCTGCATGTTTGACGAGTTGCTGCAAACAGAAACGCGTGAATATGAGCAAAAAGTAATTGGGTATAGTCACTCTATGAAAAGATATTGCAAAATTGACAATAATGTGCAATTAAAAAAGTTTTTATCTGGATACCACAGACAGAAATTTAAAAAAAACGACTCCACTTTGCCATACCTCCGAGACATCCGCAGAGCTGAGGCGTCGTATGGACTTCGGACCTGACGGCGATTAAATCCTTCTGCCCTTGGGTGTACGAATTAAGAAAATGTTCTAGCCGAAGCATCAGGGGAGAGACCAGCCGGCCCCCAGACCATATCGGCTAATCCCTTGCATCTCTGCCACGCACGGAATCGGTTGAAAA